GAGACAAAAAAATGAAAGCAATTATACTCACAAAATAGCTTTTTAGATAAATGCATGCCTAAGTTTGCACCTGCCTGCAGAAGTTAAACTTGAGAAATAGCCTCCACCAACCTTTTTTTAAATATAACAGCAATCTGAAAAACAGTCTTGAAAAGATTTCCCTTCTTACTAAGAAATATTACTGCATGTCAGACAAGAACAATTGCAGAGCTGTAGCCACAGGGCAACACTCTCCAGAGACTGCTATCAAGTCACATTTTGCAAGGCTGTCTCCCACAAAATTAAACATTTAGGCCACGCTGATTAAATAAAGCAGCTCTGCATACTGCTGGAAGCTTGCTAGAATTTTAAGCTTTTTCCTCTGATTCACGGCTGAGAGATTCCCTGGCAAGGCTAACTATTTTTGCCTCAAGGAGATTTACCAGTTGGCCAACAGGCAGCCACGTGGGCAGGATTTATGCCAGCCCAAGGAAGGATAACCCCAGATTAGGGTTGCTCACAGGCTGTGTTGACAGGCTGTTGTGGGATGGGTGCTGACATTAGCAAGAGGGGTCCAGTGGGCTTCCCAAGTTTGCCACCTAAGCTTGTCTTAGGAGGCCTCCCTTAGGAAGCTTGAGCTGAAACAGGTTGGTGAATGACTTCTTTTGGCTGGTTTTATGCAAGTGCTTTGTCTCCAGACCCTGTGCAGACAGTTCAAGAGCCTGAAGAGCTAGGGAAGGGTTGGGTGATGCCTCTATGCTGTTGAGGAACCTCTACAAGCCCAACAGATGAGGACTTTCTCCCTCCTGCAGGAACAGCTACCTGCTATGGACATGTCAACCCCTTATCTCAACTTCCAGGATTCAAAGACCATCAGTTAAACCAACCTCTCTAAAAAAGCAGAGGTAGAAAGCAGCTAATAGGTGAGCCACTAACAGATGCATCTCCTTGAAGTGGCAGATGCCTCCTCTACTGGCCAGACATGGCTTCTCAGTAGTATATTTCTGATGCTATTTTATATTTGTCTTGTTATGAAAAGCCAGATAAAAATATAAACTTCCCCTGCCACTCCAGTAATAACTCATAATACACTGAAAGTGCTGATCTGCTACAAAAAGCAGAAACAAGAAAACAAAAAAAAAAAGACCCAGGCACTTTTGAATTAAATCCAGTATTGTATTTTGCAGCCAGATTTCTAGGAAACGTTGTGAATAATCCAAGCAATTCAGTGGGACTTTGCTTTTCTTCTTTAAAATATAAAACACAGCAGCACGTGGAATTTAAGTACTGTAACTAAATCCACAACAGAAAAACAGGAGAATTAATTTTAATATAGACCCGATGGACAATGCTCAAATAGAAGTTGAGACCTGTAAGCTGTCCCTTCCATACATCTCCTGCTGGTAAACGGGGCATCTCCTCAGGGAAACCCATTGTGAAAAAGGTTTCTTTTTACAGAGACATTCAGATTAATCTCCTAGTTAGGCAAACAATTCAAAGACAGATAAAGGCAATTATAAAAAAAAGAGAAAGAAAAAACACAGCCCACATACCAAACTGAACTGCAAACTGAAAAACAAAAACAAGGAGATAAAATATATCCAAACATCCCAAGCCAGACTGGGGCCTTGGGGCCCTTCAGCACAACTGCTATTTATTGTGCCAGCAAAACCAATTAATAAGTCAGAGGAGACCAAACAAGTAAGGGATTTGCTCTGGAAGACAAGATTTATGCCGCAAGGTCTGTTGAGCCAGCACTAAAACAATGACACAATTCAGATATCCCAGCTCTATACTGGGATCCCTTGCTTGGGATTTTGCAAGAGGAGCCACGAAAGCCTGCAAGCTCTGCATCTTTTATCACAGAGAGCTCCTGGGTTACTTAGAAAGCTCATCACACGTTGGGAGAGCTTAATCACTTGCAGCTCATACCAGCTTCTTCGGAGCTCATCCACTCGCAGTGAGCATGGGACACGCTCCCCTCCCTTGCTCTTGGTGGCCAAGACAATGCAGGGCTTGATGAGTTGCTCTAAACATTGATTGCGGAGCTCCATTTCATCAGGGCTCCAATTATGCTCAGGTTTGGATTGGGTTTATACAATCATCTCATTAGTCACTTAAATTCGCCAGGAAGACGACTCATTTGACAGGCACCCTTGCTGAAGGCTCAAGCAACTTAAACACACCGCCCGTGCACGGGGCCAAGGAAGGAGGGGGGAACAAAACACCAAATGCTCGGCTGTGCCAGACTTTGTTCGTGTACAAGAGACTTGTTCCACTGACGCAAAAGGATGAGAAAAAAACAACATGTATTTTAATCAACAAGGTATTTTTTTGTCAGAGGATAACCATTAAATTGATTCAATATATGGGTCAAAACAGAGGGTAGCTAGTGATCTCCACCATACTTTCCATTAGCAAAAACAGAGCAGACCCATTTCCTCATTTTTGCTGGTCTCTACAGAGCAAAAAGATGTAGATCTTTTGATGAACATGATAAAACTGGAAGAATAGCCTACCTTCTGCAGCACACTAAGCCACAAGGGTGACTTTCAGTCAACTTTTAGCAATCCTGGAGAACTGAAGGATGCTGGAAACCTGGAACCTGTATCTGAAGTAGATGGCTCTGGTTTACTTCCACATGCACTTCCTCGTGAAATTAAACTTCTCCTTAAACTCCAGGGTTTTAGCTAGTTAGCTAGCTAAAGGAGACTGGTACATCCTTGGACACCTTAGCAGCTGTCTGAGCTTTCAGAATACCATCCATAAACAGGAAAATCCTACTCGGGCTTTCTTCAGCTCAACTTCTAGCTCCTGCTAAAGGAGATGTACTTATGTTCTCACAGATAATAAATATCCAGGAGAATTTTGCAAAGCACTCTCAGTGCTGCAGTAACAACCTCACTTTTAGTCAAAAGAGGAGTTTCAGCTTTAAGTTTTACTATTGCTGGAATTGCTCTTGAGAGCACAAGTTGGCTGGCAGAGAAAGCTTGTAGAGCAGAGCATCAGATCTTGTGAAAAAGCAAGTGTCCTTATTACTAAGGATGCAGGAAAACATATGCATGAGACTTCAGAGGCAGGTAAGGAAAAACATTTGAGTATTTAAGAGCAGTTATTTGAGAAATTATTTCTCTCTCCATCAGGAGGAAAATGTGAGTAGTAAGGACAATCAAGGAAGAGTCGCTGTTTTACAGCCTAGAAAATGTGCTTGAAATTCTTTTCATTTTAAAGGTGGGGCAAGAGCATCTATTTGATCTATTGATCTCTGCTGAACCAGCTGATCGTAACAGCAGTTCATGGTGCCAAGAAACAGCTTAATAATTACAGCTCTGTTTCAAAACTGCTCATTTTGAAACCGTATGAAAAGGTAACTTCTTGCTCTAGTTTTGGGCAAGCCCTCAGGACAATGTGAATATGCATGTTGGCAACTCCCTAGATGTGCCATTCCTAAAGTCGGAGACAGAAAAAATATATATCAGGTAATAGAAGGTGACTCATCACCTATCACCAGCTGAACTTATGGAAAAGGTCAGTTTGTATAACTGGAGGAAAAAAGAATGCAGTAGATTTAGAGGCAAACAACAGGAATCCACCATGTTTCCAATTATAATCAGTGTTTATACTGGGCACAGACTTCAGGAACTTGCACACAACCTTCCCTCCTTCCTCTGAACCACACAGGCACAACAGGAGAAAAAAGCCATACACCTCTACACTTACATGAGGAGAGAAAACAACATACCACCTTATAACACATAGTAAAGCTTTTTACAGAGACTGCCACAATTGCCACTAGGCACCCAAAAATATCCAGGTGTCTATTCACCTAGGCCAACTAGAGGAAGACTCAAGACAGTTGATGTGCTAAAAGCAGCTGCATTGGAAGGAGGAATCCAAAGCCTTTCCAACTTACTATATTAGGACAAACACCTGCACTGGCATCACCTCCGGCAGAAAGGCTAAAGGAGGTAACACATCCTTGGAAAACCTGCAAGCAGCAGGGACATAAAGCCTTCCTGAGGTTAGGCTCTTCCGAGACTAGATGCAGGTTACAGACAAGACTTATTGCTCAAGCTAAGTACTTGCTTCCAGTTTCCTTCTTTCAGTCCTCCAAATTGACTCCATATAGTGCTTTAGGGAAGACAAGGGAGCCACTGCCAAAAGTGCTGTCAAGAGTAATGCTAGATCTAATGCAGCTGTATCTAATGCATATTCAACTTCCCCTTTCCAGATGGCTTAACCCCTGGAACAAAATGACCACTGTACAACTACCAGCAACTGCAAGCCTAGGTAAATGAAGCATTTTAGTCCTATGTTCCTTTCCGAAGGCAAGAAAGCTCAGGCCTTTAGAGAAAACATCCTGTAGAGGTTAGTCTTGAATTGGTATCATTACATAATGTCTCATCAATAACCCCCTGCACATAATTTGTTTCTAAAACATGAAAGAAATTTGGACTCTGCTGCACTTCAGGTTTATACTTCTGCTCTTTAACAGCAAGATATCTGTAACTGCTCAGCCCGCTCTGTTGATGCAGATGCCACAGGTTTCCAGAGACTACAGCTTAAGCTTTATGCAAAGGGAAATCCTTGAGAGCACTTGGAACTGTAGGGTGCATTTACTGCAGACATCCAACATTCGCCTGATGCTCTTGGCGAGACAACCCCGAGAGGGACCCGACACCTACACAGTCCTAACTCCAGAAAAGCAGAGCAGCTGCCAGTCTGCACAACAGAAAAACATCCTGAAAGAATGTGAAAAAACAAGGAACCACCCAGGACAGTCACTGCTGGCAAGACAAAGATGATTACTTACTGCTTTGAATATCTAGAACATCTACAGAATTTAAAAATGCAGACTGCTGCCAGTGCTAGATTACACAACTATCACTCAACCCCGTGCTCAGATGCTATTTCAACTAAGTGGATCTTATATCACCTGCCTCAAGTTCTCAGCTAACCCTGCAGCCCAGCTCATCCTCTGTAAGGAGATACAACACACAAATAAGTCAAATAATACTTGCCACTCTCTTCAAAGAAGTATCCATTTCTTGACATCGCTGCTGGTGGAGACTCTGAAAAGACAGAAACAAAGAGGAAATGTGAGGCAACGCTGGATGTTTTCACCTTACTGCTAAACTCATTGTAAGCATCCAATGCAGCAGAAAGCCAGCCCCGAAGTACACAGGCATCAGGGATTTTTCTACATGTGGCAACTTTAACCTTTTGTTTATTGACCTTCGCAGTTACCAGAATCTTATACAGTCACAACCGCTGTCTGAAAAAGTTAAACCATCTCGAGCATCCGGTGCCGCGACCACAAAACAGTAAGGCTGAAGATCAGGACAAGATCTGACAAATATTAAGAAATGATTAAATAGTAACAAATACTAATAGAAGCTAGGCTTTTGAAACACTCCTTAATAGAAGCCATAATGAAATCCACATTTTATCTTAAGCTTGGACAAACTGAACCAGTTTAATTTAGAAAATGACAACTCTTGATTTAGAGGCAAGCTAAATTTCACTTCCCATCCTGCTGCCTCTAATCATTAGGATATCCCCATACCTACACTTGGCATTTACCGATAAGCGCAAGAACAGTTTAACCTTCCTTTGCCAGCTTCCTGAGCTGGGGTCCAGCAGCAAACATGCACCAACAGGGTCTCCGAAGGAAGCCAAAAAGGATGTCTTGCTGACCACAAGTGAGCTTGCAAACACTGCAGCACCAGGACCAAGCCCTCGTGTTTCACTATGGAAGATACCTTAAACAAGCCACTTCTCCAACCATTACTGAGATAAGGCTTTATAGTGCCGACAAAGGGATGTTCAAGCAGCATAGCAGCACACATACCTATTTCAGGTATGGCCAAAACCTCATACTCAGCCCCAGTATTAGGTTTTAGAACTGGAACTAGGTGACAAGTCAAATTGTGTGGACCAACATTTCCTTGCAGGAATATACTGCATTGTATGGGCAGCTAAGAGCTCCACTTCAAGCCCTCAGGAGATTCACCTGAACAGTCCCTGGGAAAACAGCTACCAGATGCTGTCCTTGTGTCTTCCCAGCCAAAACGCAATCAGAAAGAGGAATAGGTTTACTGTCTTTCCCCCACTTCATTAAGGTAATCAAATATTACCTACGCAAGCCTGGGATGAATTTGGGCCAACAAGGAAAGAGGTTTTGCCTGCTTTATTGTTCTACAGATTAGGCTTCCTGCTTTTAGTTTGAGGTATGAGAAAGCAAGTTTCCCAAAAGATCCTTTCTCTACCCCATAACTTCCTTGGCTTACAGGTTATGGACCTTTTTTTCATGCCACACTTCCAAGCATCATAATTCACTCCGGTCCACCAGGAGACTTTGCCAGACAGATAAGGATACACCCCTGGCACTAGCTCCATTCCCTAACTTCTAGCTCTCATCTCACACAGCTAGAGCAGGACTAAGAGCTTGTTCCAGCTCAACATAGCCAGCATTCAGCTGCACAGGTTCCTGGATGGACACCCTGGTGACCATTTGAAATAAAAACACCAGTCAGGGCAATTCAAGTGTCTAGTCCGAGACAGAAACACAGTGTTCCAAGTTCATCCCAGAACAATGGGTTAGAGGAACAAACGCATCATGGCCAAAGGGCACCGATTACACGAGTCAATTGTTTCCCTCCACCTGGAAGGGAAAGAGAAGATCCATCCAGGCTGATTAGTATGTTAATGATCAAAGGAAGGTTTTTTTTTTTGTGTGTGTGTGTTTTTTTTTTTAAGAGGCTCTTATTGTGTAATGATTGCACTTACGTATTTCAGAGAAACAAAGAAAAATACACCTAGGTAGGCGGATTACCTAAGGAATAGCAGAGGCTGACATTCCCACCTGGGATGGTATATTAATTTCTATTACAGCTTCAGAGGAAGCCTGAAGCAACATATTCTGCCAAGCAAGGGTTGAAGACGATGTTATTTGGTCTTACTGTAACCAAATCCACAACAATTCCTACAGTTTAGATAATGTCCCATTGACAGAAATTCTGTCTTCATTAGAAATACCTTCTAATTGCAGCATTGCCAGGACTGACATTACTCCTTTATAGGAGACTGGTCTCATCATTTGGAGAAGACATGGAAAGGGCAAGGCTGGGGTAGTGCAGCAGGTAACAGCGTTTCATGAGGTGGCACTGTTTCCTCTGAGTCACTAATGAGCCACAGTCCCCTAGGCAACATGCTCAGGCAATTAAGTTGGAGGTGCCGTGTTTTTTCAGATGAGTCATAAAACAGAGGTCTTAACCTTGGAATTAAAGATGCAATGGCACGTTTGGAGAGACACACACACGAAAATGGGCGTTCACCCTACTATGCCGTGGCCGAGTTCCCGCTTTGGTAATTTAGGTTCTTCCTGCATAACACCGTCCCATAGCTCCAACCAGATTCAGTCTTCAAAGGGTTGTGCTTCAAGCATGGTCTTTTGAAGGGTACTCATATCCTCCACACAAGGGACTGAACACATTAATATTGAGAAGTGACTTTAATGTGCCCAGGAGGTACAAGGTGAGAGGAATTATTTATACAGCTTCCAACATGAGCACAGAAATATGGCACTAGCTCAAAGGCCAACATATTTGTCAAAGAATGGGTAAGAAGGGCAAAGTGGGGGCTATACCATCTTTGAGACTGCCTAAAGAAAAACAAAATACACACAATTGATCAGAACAAAGGAGGCAGATTTAGGGAGGATGAAGATATCTTTTCTCCTTCTATCAGCCCCCCTCACCCCTATGCTCCCACAACAGGTTTGGCACCAGCAAGCTAATCTGATTTAACAGGATACCAGCTCTTGCAAGGCCAACTAGACCATACCTGAGCCCATGCTGAGTAGCAGACAGCAAGTCAAGCATCAGTGACCATCATTCTTCCTCTCACAAAGCTTAGGGGAATTTAATACCCGAGGTCTCTGCTCCTTAGTCATGTTTCACTGGAGACTGGACCAAGGAGCTCAAGCTGTGCAGAGCTGACAGCAAGTCACAGTCGTCTTCCCCTTAGCAAGACAGCTACATCTACAAAAAAAGCAGCTACATTTCTTATTCCCCTCTCTGCTCTTGAGATTCAAAACCCCAAACTCTAAGACATAACAGCTATCAGTGCATTTGTTTAGCTTACAAACTTGTATCTCTGCCCAGTCTTCACCAGGGGTGTTAGAGATCAACAGCACAATGCTCCAGGGTTCACCCCGGAGCAAGAGTGCTTCCAAGAAGTGTAAATCAGACCCTGCACCAAGTCTGGCAGCCTGGAGAACAGACCTGCAATCTGCTGTAGGGGAAAACCTCAATTACTGATGGGTGGGAATCTTTCCTGGAGCAGCACACTCACTTCTTCAACCCACAGGAGTGTTGCAGGTTCCTATCCAGTGTTCTTCTGCCAGCTTTTCCTCTAAATTTAAAGGAATTAAAATCCAACAAAGCAATTTCAGCAAGATACAAGATCAAGCTTCTAGAAACCAGGTTGGAAAGCATTAGTGAGAAACTAAGACTTTTAACATAGCATATTGCCCCCCTTTCCCATATCTAGTATTTCTCAGATATGCACATCCTTGCTCTTCAGACTGTCATTGAACACCTATAAAGAAAACCAGACTCCAGTTGCTTTCACTCTCCAGCAGGACAAGGTCCATCTCCCATCATCTGCCAAAAACCCATGGAACTGCTCTTTCAAACAATTTAAGCTGTTTTCTTAATTTTGTAAGAGTTAATTTACTTGATTTCCACTGCTACTTCACCATATTCCCTACAAGGTATGCCTTTTTAAATGACACTAAATTGGTCAGCCATTAGAAGTGTCAGGCCACAATTGCTTTTTCAAAAAATAAAGAGCTTTTCACTAAACTTTTTCCTTTCCTTATGCTCATCAGAATCAGAGGTTGAGTCCATAAAAGTGTTACCAAATGAAAAAGTTCATATTTCTTCAGACTGATTCAATTGAGACACAAATTAAGATTAAAAAATAATCTACTATGAATGGCTTGACTTGAAGTTGTTCCAGTGACCCGAAGAACCACCAAGGGAAAGACATATGAAGCTTATAGTGCTTCACAAACAGGATAGTCAAGTTTTGGTAGTTTAAGGAGTTGAGCCTTAAGATTACAAGTTCATCATTCTATAGTAAAAAGCAGAGACTGGGCATGCTTCCTGATTTCTTACATTCTTACCATTTTTAAATTTGTATATCACAACAAAAACAGCCAAAACCCTACCATGTTGCCTTCTATTATTAAATTCCTTTGGGAGATGTGCTTCAGATCTCCTAATAACCCACTTTAACTCTCTTGTTTTAAGGTTAGTAATAAGCTCTCTTGAGCCCTGCAATATTAGCAGATTACAAATAAAAACACATTCTCGGGATACTTGGGTAACTTGATTAAAATGTTCTGCTGCTGGCATCTTCCAAGTAAACAGACCTCTGCAGCTCGAGCCTTCCTGCAAAGCAAAGCGTAGCTTTAACGAGCTTGCAGCACGGACACTTTCACAAGTGGTCCCACAGACTTCTATACCCTCCCCACCTCCTGCTAAGAAAGCCCCCCAAGTTCTAGGACTTTTTTTGTTTAGCAGAAGCCAAGTTGGAGGCAATATTATTATTAAACAGTTATCTGAAAGGAACTGCTGAATTTATAGGCTTTTAATGACAACACCTCTTCCACTGTAGAGGGTGCCTGCATTCAAATACATCCCGAGTAGATATAGGCAGCACTATTTTTGGTTACCCCTGAAGGATTGTTTCAGGATCAGAAGCATTAGGTACCTTATTGATCTCCTACCCATGGTGTGCTCCAGTATCTCCTTTCCTGCATTACTCACTCCTTGGTAAACCTTTCTTCAGCCTTGCATTACTGGACCTTTGGGGACAATTCTGAACCTCATCAGCACATACACCACCTTGCCTTGCAGTTGATAGAGCAAGATAGAGCAATCACTTCAGCTAGAGATGTTAATTCAGTTGAGTAGATTTTTATTATAACTTCAGCTTTCCCAGGTACCCCCCTCAAGAGTAATTACCAATTCTCAGGACAAGCCCAGAAAAAAGAAAAAAAGAT